GGGGGTTTTCCCCTTCATACTCTCTCTTCCCACCACAGCTGAACTTAAATGCCTAAAGGAAGTAAATGCGCGTCTCCGAAGTGACGCAGATGCTAATACAAGACGTTTTAAACAATTGGAAGAGGAGTTTGCAAGGCAACAGCAGTGGAGCCGTCTTAATAATATCGAAATTACAGGTGTCCCGGAGGACAAGGATGAGAACACTGTTGAAATTGTTGTTAAGCTGGCCGAGAAATTGGGTGTCACCATGGACAGTAGTGAGGTGTAGTTTGCACATCGTGTGCAGCCGCGTAAGCCGAACAGTTCCATCATTGCCCGGTTTCGTCACCGCAGTACAAAAGACTCGATCGTAATCGCATCGCGTAAACATCGCGGCATCAAACTAACCGACATTGGTATGGTGAACAAGACAAGGAACGATAATGCCAGAAACAATATTTATATTAATGAACATCTTACACCCTACAACCGGGATTTATTTAAACAGTGTAAAATCAAGACTAAGGAATTTAATTTCAAATTTATCTGGACAAAAAACTGCCGTATTTATGTGCGTCGCAACGAAACTTCTCCCCCATACCCATTATAACGACGGCCGATTTGATAAAAATAGTTTAATTTGTACTGATTGTATAGCGATGTTACTCTTAGTTATGTTACGCATACTTACACAATACACATTTCTCACTTACTTTCATCATATTATATCTCTTTACATTTTAATACCAAACAACTTGCAAAGTTATCATACAACATATTATTCATTGTTTCTATTTATCATTACTCAAACTGCAAAACACTATGAAAAAATTTAAAACACTATGATAATATATCAATAGGCATTACAAACTGCCTTTCTGTTTTATTTCTTTTTAAAACCTTATATTATGTCTTATTGTCGTGGAAAAAGATACTTAGCATTCACTTCTTATTTTATTATTACGTTTTCTCTGTAGTGCAAATGAAAGCAGTTATTACAATCCTTTATGTGTAACATTCTATAACTAACGGTGTACTTAATATTTAAAATGCCAAAGTGCGATAGTGGATTAAGACTTTTCTATCAGAATGTACTGTACGAAGATTACGGACTAAGACTGACCAGTTTTATAATAATTTATTTCTATCTAATATTGACATCGCTTTAATTACAGAGACATGGTTATGCGACAGTATTCTGGATATGGAGTTGTGCAGTTCTGACCAATACGAACTATTCCGTCGCGATCGCGGCGCGCTCGGAGGTGGTGTGATGATTGCGTGCTCTTCCCGGCTCAGGGCGCGCAGGCACTCTGACCTTGATCGCGACGATCTTGAGTGCATATGCATAACAGTACCGGCGCGTGCGCTTGACTCACAACGTGATTTAAATATTTTATGTGCTTATATACCGCCAAACCACGCTTTTGCATTTTGTATGCAAAAGTTTATACAAATACTTACTGTTGCGATTAGTTCAAAACCAGATGATCATTTTATAGTAATTGTTGATTTCAACTTACCTTGTACAGGTTGGAAATTAAATAAACCTATAATATTAAAAAAGGGATCTGTCGAGATGCAGAACTCTGCTGTTGATTTAATTAATACTACTTCTTATTTAGGTTTATCTCAATACACTTATTTAGTAAATCCATATGGTAATATACTGGATTTATATAATTAAATCCAGTATATTACCATATGGATTTATAATTTTCTCTAATATATCATTAACTATCGTAAAATCTAAAGCCCCAATTGTAGTTGAAGATATTTGTCATCCATCAGTCGATATTTATGTGAAAGATATAATAGTACCTTCGATTAAACCAAAAACTAGAAAAAGAAACTTATTTAGGAAAGCTGATTATAATAAATGAAATACCTTTTTTTCTAATTACGATTGGTCCTTTCTAAAATCACATGATTTGAAATACGTAATCGACACTTTTATGTAACATTAAATACAGCCATCTCTAACTTTGTGCCACAAAAATTGTATCTCATACTTACAATTATCCTGTTTGGTATAGTAATGCCTTAATAAAGTTGATTAAAGAAAAAGCTAAGTATCATACTTACTAGAAAAAATATGGAAACCCAAATGATTATGAATCATTTTCTTTATTGCTTTCCCTTTTAAAAAAACTTGAAAAGGAATGTTATTCGTCTTACATTAATTATTCTCAAGAAAAAATTAAAACTACACCTAAATTGTTATCGGCTTATATAAAATCCAAGAGGAAAAATAAATCAACTTATCTCCAAATAATGCAATACAATAATAATTAATTTTCAAATCAAAATGATAATTGCAATGCTTTCAATGAATTTTTTAGTCTTAATTTTAGTCTACCGGCATTACATTATCAAAATTTTACACATAAAAATTTCCTAAGCAATGATGTTATTAGTGATATATATCTTTCTGTAACAGACATAAAAAAGGCTCTTGATAATCTCGATTGTTCTAAAGGCGCTGGATGTGATGAGATTCCTCCATATTTCTTTGTAAAGTGCGCAGAATCGCTAGCGGCTCCTATAACATTAATATTTAATCGATGTTTTGCAGAAGGTTATTTTCCTAAGATTTGAAAACCGCTAACGTCGTTCCAATCCATAAAAAAAGGAATCAAAACAGCCATCGAAAATTACAGACCTATTTCTATTCTTAATGTACTGAGCAAGTTGATGGAGAGGGCTGCACATAAGCATTTATATCCTCTGATTGTTCGTCACATTCCTTCACAACAGCATGGATTCGTTCGTGGTCGCTCAACCAGGACTAATTTATCAATTTTTTCTAATGATGTTCTTCGAGGTATGGATGATGGTTTTCTGATTGATGCCATATATACATACTTCGAGAAGGCATTTGATCGCGTGGATCACATTATTCTATTGCGTAAACTCCAGGAGCTAGGAATTCATGGAAATCTACTTAGGTGGATAGAGTCCTATCTACGTAACCGATCTCAAGCTGTTGTAATAGCTGGACATCGCTCTGATTTCTTGGATGTCCCATCTGGAGTCCCTCAAGGGTCCATATTAGGTCCGTCACTGTATGCATCATACTTGTATGATATAGTAGACTGTTTTAAATTTTCCAAATTTCTCATGTATGCGGACGACACTAAAATTTACGCATATATTAAGTCTGAGGAAGATGCACACCAACTTCAGAAAGACTTGAACCAGCTTTGTTTCTTCTATCATGATAACCGTATTAGTGTTAATATAACAAAATGTTATCAAATAAGCTTCACTCGTAAAAGACACCAAATTGAATATCGATATAAATTAGATAACCAATTGAATATCGATATAAATTGGAACGCACCTACCAAACCAAAGATCTTGGTGTTATTTTTGATTCCAAGATACTTATGTCTAATCATGTCACGACAATGGTTGCAAAAGCATATAAAAATTTAGGATTTGTTCTAAGAGTGTCCCGTCCTTTCTCAGATTCTGAACGCATAAAAATTTTGTATTATTATTATGTAAGAAGTGTTTTGGAGTATTGTTGTAATGTCTGGAATCCGCATTATTTGTCTTATATAGAGAATATAGAGCAAATACAAACATCTAAACAGTAAAGCTTTCATAAAAAAAGAAATAATCTCAATTTTAAGAAATAGCAAGTAATATAAATTTAAAAAAAATAACACGTACAAACATGCCACACCTCTTTCACACACACACACACACACACACACACACACACACACACACGCACGCACGCACGCACGCACGCACGCACGCACGCACACACACACACACACACACACACACACACACACACACATAAAAAAATATTTACAAAACAAAACACTAGTATATGTACATGTATGGCACTGTATTTTGTAAAATGCGTAATGGCGTAATGACTACTCTTTAAAAATAACCCTGTATAATATTATTTCCACACAGTTGTAGCAATACGTTAGAAGATTTGTTTTTTTATAAAGTAAGAACCTGTAATTGGCAGTAGAAAATGTAAATACTTACTAATTGTATAATTTTACAAAATGCTGTTGGTTCTGTTACAATAAAATTAAAAAAATGAATTTACGTTCTATAAGTGAAACCAAACCACTGGTTTCAAGGATAACAACGGTGTTTACACTAACACCCTATAGTATAGTATTTAAGTATATGCATATCTGTATGTATGGATATATGTGTATGTTTTTATTATCTTTATTTTATATTAAGTATAATAATATTATAAAATTTATTATGAAAGTGCACACTAAATCTGCTTCTTTTTGAATCTGTTCAGTATCAGGCCTGCTGGAAGAAATTTCAATATGAAATAAGATGTGCCTTTGTACAAAATATCGTTTTATTTTTCATTCTAACATTACTTCGTGTGTACATAAATTGTTAAATAAATAAATAAATAAAATCATGAATTCTAGGTATCGGATATCGATCCAGTTTAGTAACTGCATTTAACGTACTATTAGTTACTTATTAGTCTCCGCACGGTCGCAAACACCGTTTTTCTTTGGCACCACATGTAGTGGGCTAGCCCACGCACTCTTGGAAGGTCTGCATATTCCCATTTCTTTCTTGCATTATTCTAAATTCTTCTTTTACTTTTTTATATTTATCGACTGGTAATGGGCGTGCCTTAGCATGCACAGGGGACCCGTCGTCTCTAGGTGGTACTGTATGACGAGGGGGCCGAGCATATTCCGATACAAGTTTTTCAATTATTATTTTTTTTGATTATTTCTGGCGTGGTAGCCTCAATCGGCCGTCGAGATCGGGGGTCTACAATTTTCAATTTGCCGCCAAATCGTATACAAATGACAAATTAACAAAATACATACACAATAATATTGGCAAAGAGTTTCATTTTCAAAATTTGAACTTATTTTTTTATTATGTCGTAAACGACATAATAAAAAAATAAGTTGTAAACAAGTGGCCAGTTCTAAAAACTTTCAATGTCGCCCTCGTAGCAGCAGCATGGCTCTGTCATGTGAAACATTGAGTTCGCTGTACAGAGATCGGTACGGGCGTGAGCTGAACTTCGCGCGGTTTGGATACACGAGTGTGCTGAGCCTTGCGTGTGTGCTGGAGGACTCGTTGCGGATCTACCGGCCGCGCGGGGCCGCGGACTGGAAGCTGCTGCGGGCCGAGCCTACGCCGCCCGCCGCAGTCGCGCCCCTCCCACCTCTCGCACACCCCACGCACTCCCCCGCGCAACAAAGGTCTCATGACGTCGACGCCGTCGACCCAGAAGACGCGCTGCCGGGAATTGATTTCGTGAGTTTTTTTTACAACAATTCACTTACACGAGAAAGTTTAAAATACATACAAACAAATAATAGTCTTATCCTAGGCGTACACTAATATATCGAATCAATTTCACTCAAACACATTCAGTTGTAATTATAAATTTTTTAGCAATTTTTATTTCTAGAACAAACAAAATACTAATAAACAGGGTACTTTTAAAAGACTTTACGTAGTTAAGACGCAAACAATGCTTGGAGGCGCACCTTACACAGACCGAGCGTAGCTAGAAACGACGCGTAAAGTAGTGAAATCAAGGTACGCTCAGGTTAGAAATTAAATAATATTTTAAGTGCTTTCTAAATGTTGGGATTGATTTTGCTTCTTTCATATTTTTCGGTAATTGGTTATACAATTTACACCTTCGTACATTAAGTTTTTTTTTACCATAATTAGTTCTTGGGGTTAAGAAGCAAAGGTCGTCAGCACGCCTTAGTCCAATTTTTTGTATTTGCTGTTTTTTTGTGAATGTTATTTGAGTCTTGTAACTATATCCACCATCTAAAGTGTCTATATCTATCTGTCTATATAGGTCTTTTAGAAATTATATCGCAATGGAATTGTTATTGATCCACAGGTGACCTGGACTTTGAGATAGCACTTAATAAAAATAGTGGTTACATGATGTACTCTTAATATATTATATCATTTATGTTATCAATTGCCAAATGATAAAAATATTATACTGCTTCCACTATGTTATTCTATTCTAGACAGCTTACACAGAGTAGTCGACTTAACTTTGTCCCAGCTTCTGCGAATATAACTACAAACAAAAAAAAAATAGGCGACAGCCCGTCATGTTCATCAAGGTCACATCTGACAGAAATCAATTTTAGTGATGTGGTAAGCCGATAAATGAAAAACGATGATTTTTTGTGCAATTCTTAATTATTATATACATACATAAATACCATAGAATACTATAATACACAATAGAATTGCTGTCAACCTTTATTTTATACGACGATAGGCGTCGCCGGGAGCACACATACAAGCAATAACGTCGTATTATCACTACTACAAACCCGATTCGCTGTATTGACAGACAGATTTTAATACATATTTATTTGTAAATAGCGTGCAATTTGGCATTTTTATAAATAATTTGCATGAGAAATTTGGAAACGATTGTAACGTCAAACCACATCTCGTGTTGACATTTATACGTGTGAATTGATGTGTTAGTGACATTTTAGTGGCGACACGGGCTCCGCCCACTCCCCCGTTCTATTATCTATGTATTATAGTATTCTTTGATAAATACGCTCACGATTGTAATTCTTTCGGAGTACACGAAAAACCTGACAATATTGTTTACTATTATTTTTAAAAAATGGGACACAAATTACAATTCTATGTAGAAGGATTAAAACAATTTTGGTTGGCATTATTTTGGAAATCGAAATTATACATCCAAATAAATATTTAAAGGTTTATTTTCCAAAATTATTCGTCATCTATGTATATACTGAAATACTCTCTTCGTCTGATGACGTATCTGTACCTACATGGACAACATTGTTCTCTTATATAATCGAAAGCAATATCTCGTTCCCAGTCCGACGATATTAATTGTTTAGTCCTTTCTGCTACACTTGCCCAATTTACAGCGGTGACGTGGTTACATGCACCATTCAGCAATCTCAGCATCTTATTTGCTGTAAACGGTGGATTTGTGTTAGTTCTTGCTGCGTACCCTTTCACAATTGCGCATATTAATTAATTGGCGTTGTACTAAAAGTGGTACGGCAGTAGTTTTAGAACTGTGTGCCCATAACGACGTGGTAGAGCCATGTTGGAGCTATACCAGTATATATAGTAGTATAGTTGTAGCACGAATGGGTCGGCTAGACCGGGGCAGGACCACGCTCTCACAGAATACCAGCGTAAATTAGCAGCTCATCGCTGCTGTGTTTCGTATGATGAGTGTAGAGAATCGGAGACCCATTTTGTTGGAAACGAGGCACTCCATCTTGGTCCTCACGGGCGACAACGGATCTGCATTTTGGTTCGTAATCGAGGATAGACGTAGATGTCTATGGGCCGCAGCAACCACTTACTATCGGGTGGACTGTGTGCTCGTTTGTCACCCTTATCCTATAAAAAATCTGCTGCAAGTTCGTCCACAATGTATCTTGGTGGTTGTCGATTTTTTATAATATACGGACTAACCCACATTTTAACATAGACTCATGTACATTGTGGTCATGATCACGAAGCCAGTTTATATTATCGGATTTTGTGTTGGCTTGAGTAGGTATTAGGGATGGGCCGAAAATGGATTTCACCGAATACGAATATTAGGCCGAAAGTTCGGTAAAACTTTTACCGAACCGAATATTCGGCCGAACATTATTCGGCAGGATAACCTCGGGATCCAACCAATTTATGTCGAAACTTGTTACCGTAAAGCGCGCGGGATTAGCGCCGGACCCTGCCTCTCGCTCTCCGCTACACCTTACAGTTATTGTGTCATCTAGTACTGAGGAAATTGCCGGCACCATAGAATTATTAGGCTTAGAACCGCAGTAGGCGCACGCAGAGTGAAGCCATTTCAAGTTAGCCTTTTAAGGCTACGTACGACTTTCGGCGCGTCAACACTCGAGTCTACGTAGTCGTGTGAAGAGCTGGCGCAATTTTGCAAAAAAAAGTAGTACTGTGCTGTGAAAGGCTGTCAAAACTCATCACATAATCATGAAATTTTTTTAAAAATCTCATTTCACGGGTCAATACTGCCCAGCATCTTACATTTTTGTAAAAAAACATTCATCAAAACAAAATGATAAATCGTAAATTTGACAGACGCCATTATAATGAAAATGTTGCCAGGCATAGTAAAATATATATATATATATATATATATATATATATATATATATATATATATATATATATATGTATATATATATATATATATATATATATATATATATATATATATTGTAATTACATGCTGCCAATATGGGACTATTATTGTTGTATTTTTATTTGGCAAATAAAAGTACCTACAATATTTACGCATAAGTAGATATTTTTATTTATTGTTTATGTACTTAGGTATGTAGTTATTTAACCCTAACTCACTAACCTTATTTTCGAGTAACGCTGTAACTAATCTTTCGTCTCTGAGACTACGAAAAAAACATTACTTTTAAAAATCTGTTTAATTTTCTTTAATCAAATTAAAATTCACAGTAATTAAGCTTTTAACGTATCATATAATATTAAAAAATAATGAAATATCTTAATCAGTACAGGAATTACACATAGAAACTGTATGTTCGCCACAAATGGCCGTATTTGGTCATGCGACGTTTTTTCGCTGGGCAATAACTGCACATTTTTCTGTTTCTTGGTTGCTCTTGACTTGACTGTTCGTCAGAAACATCTATTTTTAGAATTTCTCCGATAATTTGCTTGAAATTACGCTGCAAAGTCACAGTGTTATATGGCTCGCGAAGCCAAGGTGCCATAAGTTTTTCTGCCATTGCTAAGGCAAAATCCCATCTTTTTGTGGGTTTTTTATTATTACGGATCTCGTGTGACACGTAAAGAACATAAGCATTAATTAGATAAGAAGATAAGAAGTAAAACAAGCACAAAGGCCATCCGTTGGTTTTACGGCTTGTGCTCATAATTGAGCACATCTGGTCCACTATATCGACTGCTCCTTTAGTTGAATTGTAAAATTCAATAATTTCCGGTTTTTTGGAGCCGTTGCTAATAGCAGGTTGGTCATGAGTCGTAGATAGAAGGTATACGATTTTATTTGATTTTGGTTTGTATGAGACTAAAGTCATATCTCTGTCAAAGCCGAACATCGAAGTGCCTACTGGTCTATTTTTATTGTTCTGCATTTCTTTCGGGATCTCACGTTTATTGCTTCGCAATGTACCCACGACTGTCAGCTTATAAGGCGGTTTTAGCAATTCTGTGGCCAGGGTAACTGATGTAAACCAGTTGTCTATTTTGATATTCCGATTTGATCCATATATGGGTTTAGCTATCTCTTTTACAAAATAACTAGCCAATGGTTTGTTACCGGTGTTAGTGTTTTTTCCTAGATAAGGTATAGCGTTGCACATATATTTTGTATTACAATCCGCCATCATAACCAGTTTCAAATCATATTTGTTCGGTTTATTGGGGATGTACATCCTGAAAGGGCAGCGTCCTCTAAAACTAAGAAGTTGTTCATCTATCGTAACGTATGAACCTGTTTTGTACCATTGCTGACAATGATCTATAAATTTTTCCCAGAAATCTCTAATGGGAGCCAGTTTGTCAGATACCCTACTTTGTTGCCTTGTGTTTTTATCGTCAAATCTCAAGCATCTTAGTAAAAAATCAAACCTTTCAGCACTCATGCAGCCCTTATAGGTGTTTGCGTTTCTTTTTGTGTCAAATAACATCCGAGTTGGCAAATGGTTACTTTTCAGGGCAGCAGATTGAATAAGTAGACCCAGTAAATTCTTGACTTCATTAGCCGACGTCTGAGAAGTAGTGAATTTTGAAAGTTTGTACTTATTATTCTTTATATCAATATCTGCGTTTATAAATTGCACGACGACATCGATCATTTCTTCCGTCACAAAAAGCTGAAATAGTTCCTTTGGCTCTGAGACCTCTTTAGCCAATCCAGAAGGACCAGGTACGATATGTATCACATTACGACTACTTGTACGTGTGCGTGGGTCACGAGGATTTGTTGACCATCTGTGTCGATTCTTACCGTACAAGTTACGCTGGCTCGGCTGAATAACTGTCGGATGTAATTGCGGTACTTGTGTTTGAGTATCGCTGCTGGATTCCGCCTGATCCGTGTTTATTGTTTCATCATCAGAATCTAACACTAACCTTCGATTACGCCCGCGACGTGAAACTAACAATTCGTCCCCCGAAGAGTCTGAAGCTTCTTTCTCACTTTCATCAGAAGGGACGTGTACTTTCGTCTCAACATTATTCTC